AATAATTTAACAAAATATATTTGATATTTGATTAAAAAAAATTAAAGGTCAAACTATTATTCCATTGGGATATTGTTGAATTCTAATAGTTAATTTCATTTAATTTAGTCTATTCAAACAAATATGACTTAAGTGAGTCACTATTTATGTTTTTAATTACTTAATAAAGATGAGTTAACATGTATCACTCATAAATATTTGTATTACGTGATTAATTTAAGGACATGTTTGATTAGATGGATTAGAGCATGAGATTGAGATTATTAATCCGTGGGTTCAATTATCCTATGTTTGTTTTAACATTTTGGTTTAGGATTATTAATGCAATGGATAATTAATCCATATGTTTGTTTTAACATTTTGGTTTAGGATTATTAATGCAATGGATAATTAATCCAACAAATTTGTAGGATTATTAGTAATGGGGTAGAGTGAAATTATTAATCCAATGGATAATTTATCATATTAATCCAATCAGATAGTGAATATCATACTAATTTTAATAAGATTATTATTACTTCACTAGTAGTCTTATGAATCAAACATGGCCTAAGAGTATTACTATTCAAGGTAAAAAATTAGACTAATTTTTAAGCCAATGATGTGTCCATCAATTAAGATATTAAAGACTCTTTCTCTTATCTTTATCTTCGCTAATCAGTAACTAATCATATTACTTACACATCATTAAATTTAAAAAATAAACATAAAAGATAAATTTATATATCTTTTTCCTCAATTTAAAAGACTATATAAATATAATGCTACATAATAATCCGGGACTACTTAAATAATTTGTTCTAGTTTTAAGGCTTTAGAAACACAAAAATTGTGTGGTGGAGCAAATTCTGCCGAAGAGGGTGGACATGCGCATAAACCAATTGCTAACAAAGGCAGACAAAAGAAAGAATGACGCATAAGCCAATTTCTCTGTCTCATTCTACTAGTGAGTTTCGCATATACACCTTCACAGATTTATTATTTTTGTTTTTAGTGGTATTTTTTAAAAATTATATCCATTTTTTAAAAAAAAAAATCAAGTCCATATCGTGTAAACAAGTTTTAAAATAAAAAGATATTTAAGAAGAAAAAAAAGAAGTGCAAATTGTTTTTAACTTCTTTTTGTTGTTGTCGTCGTCATCATTTCTCAACCTTTTTTAATTTTTTTTTTTTTACTTTTTGGTCTTCTAGTCGAGTAATTACTAGAAGTATAAGTTTTTTTTTTTTATTTTAAATACTAAAAATAAAAATAAAAGTAAAAATCAACAAAAAAAAAAGTCAACTTCAAACACTCGCACTATAATTCAAAAATCACTTTTATACCGTGATATATTTATGTGGTACTCTAAGTCAATATGAACACAAATGATTTTGGATGAGATTAATTTTGTCTCTTATTTAACTGATTAGAACAACTCAAAATAAATATTATTAGTTAAATTTTTTTTTCTAGTTTTTTTTATTATTTTATTATTTTTTATTTTATGATTAGAGTACTGATTCCAAGGCTTGAATGAGAAAAGGAGCCCGACATGTCAAATATTGACTGACTATAATTTTTTAAGTAGAATTATTATTATTATTATTTTTTTCGTTACATCAAAAATAGGAGTAGAAGTCATTTTAAAGTCTTCATTTTAACATGCGGATTTGAATTTTGATTTGAGTATGTAACATGAAAACAACACATTGATAACATGATCTGGAAAACAAAAGAGGTTTAAAATTGTGTTTAATGTTCTGTTATTCATCTCACTTCTCTTTCTTTCTCTCTCTAGAATTCTGGCTTCTTTGCCGTTTTAGGCATAGTAGGATCACAGCAATTGAGGGTCACAGCAGTGTAATTTTACTTCTCACATCATTTTATTTTGATTTTTTTTGACTCAGAAGAAATTATAGCCAATTTCATTGCAGTTTCATAAATTCATCAATTCATTTTTCAAGTCTTCCCTCGCAGTCAGGTCCCTTATTCTAGAAGTTTGGCAGCTTATTTATAAGGTTATTGCACGAATTAGCTCGTTGGTCATAACGTTTATTAATAATGCTATATATACCAATTAGTGTATTAATTGATAATATGATATAATTTAGAAAAATGCTATGGACTCCAAACAAATTACCAAATTTTTTACCAAACCTCTCATATGGGTGTGGGATCCACACAAATCAAATGTGTGTGGGTCCCACACCCATGTAAAAGATTTGGTAGAAAATTTGGTAATTTGTTTGGGGTCCCTAGCATAACTCTATAATTTAAGAGGTTTTTAATATTTGTAATTTGTATAATGCATGTGGTCAATAATAATATCATAATTAATGTTGGTACACTAATTAGTGCATGTAACACCACCGAATCTTTATTATTTGTTTAGAAATAATGAAACATGGCTTTTTTTGGTTTCAGTTTTCTAAGTTTAATTTTATGAAAATTGTGTTTTTTATTTTTCATATATTTTTATTTTAGTTAATATTTTTAAAATTTTAAATAATGTTTTATTTTTTTTTAGATGTACCTTATTTAGATGTATCTAAATAGTAAAATATTTATAAAAATATTTTAAAAAATTAATAAATACACAAAAATACAAAAAAAAAAATTACTGAATTTTGTATTTTTTTTTGTATTTTTAGTATTTAGTAAATTTTTTAAATATTTTTTCACAAATATTATACTTTTTAACTATATTTATGTTAGGTATGTCTAAAAATTAAAAAAATTTCTTAAAATATTAAAAAAGATTCACGGAAAATAAAAAAAATATGAAAAACGAAAAAGTAAAATTTTCTGAAAAATAAATTCTAAAAATTGAAACCAAAAATAATTTTTTATTTATTTTTATTTTAAAGATGGTGTTGTAAGCTTCATCCCAAGAAAATGATCTTGCTAAGATACAATACCATCAAGGTACTTTCCCACCAATTATGAATTATTTGTATATATATGAAGAAAAAAAAACATCAATAAGATCAATAAAACATCGCTTTTTTTAAAAAAAAAAATAATTTTAATTTTTTTTTTAAAGATGGTGTTGTAAGCTTCATTACAAGAAAATGATCTTGTTAAGATACAATACCAATGTACCAACAAGTACTTTCCCACCAATTATGAATTATTTTTAAAAAAATCAACAAGATCAATAACAATAACAAAAACAAAAACAAAATGGATTACAAAGAGAAACAGAAGTCTCGCAAGCATTATGAGACGAATTCCAACAAATAACATTAATAAGGTGAGAAGTGGGTTAAAAATAACTTTTCAGTTTTTAACCAATTTCTTCTCTCATAAAAAAAAAAAAAAAGAAGGGTAAAAAAATTAAAAAAAAAGTAAAAAAAACCAACTTTTAACCCATTTTCCCAAAACACTCCTAAGATAAGATGAATAGACCTCAACAAAGTCCTTGGAATTACACCAAAGTCCAACGGCTCAAATCAAAAGGATAATTTTATTTTAAAATAAAATATTAATAAGTCTTAATAGTTAAATTTAATTTCTGTCAAGTCTCATTGAAAATAAATTATAGTAAAATCATTATTAAAAATATTTTTTTATGACAATTTTGTACGTCGCTAAAAATTGATAATTAGTGATTTTTTTATCAATGATTTTTTTTTAAAATTATATTTAAAACTTACAATTAGTGACTTTTTTCTGTAATAAATTTTTTAAATTGATACTGAAAGTTGAAAATTAACAATTTTTTTTGCAATGATTTTTTTTAAATTATCGATAAAATTTATAATTAATGACATTTTTTGTAACACAATTTTCAAATTGTCACTAAAATTAACAATTAGTGACGTTTTGAATAGTATTTGATAAAGAATGTCACTAATTATTATAAAATATATTGAATAATAAATCAACTTATTAAAACATATACCAGTCTCCCTCTATTTTAAATATAAGTTATTGGATTATATCACAACAAAATTATTGTAGGCAAAGAATGTTGTTTTTTACTTCCCACCGATTCTGTTGTAAACGAAAGACTTGTGCATGTGTTCCTAAATTTGACATTTTTATAAACAATTTGAGTTGCCTATAAAAAATACGAAATATCAAAATATTAGAAACATTGAAATTATCAAAATATTCAACACATTTTCACATATTTTAATATTTTTTTTTGCGTATTTTCCAATGTTAACAATCACGCATAATTAGTGGCGGAGTCAAAAAACTAAATCAAAAGAGATACTTATTGATTAAAATAAATCAAACCAAGCCTTAAGTCCCATCAAATGGGGTTGGCTATATAGATCCTTCTTCTCCATGCGGCCCTATCAAAAGTCATTGCGTTAGTTAAATTAAGTAGATCCATATCTCAATTTACAACGCTAACCAACGTTAATCCAGGCCTACCCCCGTCCCCTAACACTTCCATCTACCGTTATAGCATCACATATTTTCACTACTGCCTCTGTTGGTCTTCATTGAATATGACCGAACCATCTCAATCGATTATCTCTCAACTTATCTTTTTTCGGTGCTACTCCTACTCATTCCCAAATATACTCATTCCTAATTCTGTCTTGTCTAGTCTTGCCACACATCCACCTTAGCATTCTCATCTCAGCCACACTCATCTTATCTACATGTTGTTTCTTGATTGCCCAACACTCCGTCTCATACAAAATCGCTGGTCTAATTGCCATTCTATAGAACTTACGTTTAAGTCTAGTGAGTATTCGTTTATCACACAGTATCCCAGATGCACTTCTCCACTTACACCATCCCGCCTTAATCCTATGGGCCAAATCCGCATCAATCTCCCCCACTGTTGTGATAATCGATCCTAAATAACGAAAATATTCATTCTTAAGCAGTTCTTGGTTCTCAATCTTCACTTCTCCTCTGCTTTCATTATTACTGTTACTAAATTTACACTTCATGTACTTTGTCTTAGTTTTGCTTATTTGGAATCCTTTAGATTCAAGAGTTTTTCTCAAAATCTTCAACTTTATATTAACTCATTCTCTAGTCTCATTCACTAGCACTATATTGTCTGCAAAAAGCATACACCATGGCACATCATATTGAATATTTATCGTCAACTCATCCATAACTAAAGCAAAAAGATAAGAACCTAAGGTAGATCATTGGTGTAACCCTACAGTGATAGGAAATTCATTTGTCTCTCTAGCAAGCGATCTAATAGTGGTCGCCACCCTTTCATACATGTCCCTAATCACATCAATGTAACATTTTGTCACCCCTTTCTTTGCTAACACCCACCATATTATATCCCGGGACACTCTATCATATACTTTTTCAAGATCGATAAACGCCATATGAATGTCTTTTTTCTTTTCTCTATACTTTTCTATTACTTTCCTCAAAAGATAGATTGCTTCCATTGTTGACCTGCTAGACATAAATTCAAATTGATTCTTTGACACCTCTGTTGTATCTCGCAATCGACGTTCTATCACCCTCTCTCACACTTTCATTATATGACACATTAGCTTGATTCTTTTATAATTGTTGCAATTTTGAACATCTCCTTTATTCTTATAGATTGGTACTAAAATACTCTTCCTCCACTCATCTGGCATGTTCCTAGTCAACAAAATTTTGTTAAACAACCTAGTCAACCAAGCAACCTCTTTTTTACACAAACACTTCTAAGCTTCAATAGGAATATCATATGGTCCTAAAACTTTATTTGATTTCATCTTCTTAAGTGCAATCTCCACTTCAAAGTTCCTAATCCTACGATATAATCTATAGTCTTGGTTTATCGTATTACTGGCCATTTCTTCCCCTATTATCGTACCTCCATGTTCCTCATTTAATAATTTCTCAAAATAGTTATTCCATCTTTCCTTAATCTCTTCATCCCTCACCAATATCTTAGAATCCTCGCTTTTGATGCACTGAACTTGATTAAAATCTCTTGTTTTCCTCTCCCATATCTTAGCAAGTTTGTATACTATATTCTCTCCCTCCTTACTATCTAGTCTACTGTATAGGTCATCATAAACTTTCAATTTAGCCTATCTCACTACTTTTTTGACCTCCTTATTAGCCAATCTATAGCTCTTAAGGTTTTCCTCAATTCTATCATTTTGCCACTTTTTAAAGCACTTTTTTTTCCCCTTAACTACCGCTTGAACCTCTTCTCTCCACGACCAAGTTTCCCTAGAGTTGGGTCCTGTTCTTTTCGACTCTCCAAGCACTGCCCTTAAGATTCTCCTCATACAATTGGTCACCGAGTTTCACATAGTGTTAGCATCATTTTCCAAGGTTCAAGTACCTTTCTTATCCATTCTATTCTTAAATATTTCGAATTTATCCCCTTTTAGGTCCCACTATCTCATCCTACGACGCCCACCATCCTTCCTAACTTGGTATTGCCCTTTAAAATATAAATCTATGATCAAAATCTTATGTTGAGAGGTCAGACTCTCTCCAGAAATCACTTTACAATCATTGCATTTTAGGCATTTCACTTTTCTCACTAAGATGTAATCTATTTGGCTCTTAACTGACCCACTCTTAAGGTTATCAAATGCTCCTCCTTCTTCTTATACATAGTATTGGCCACTACCAGGTTAGAAGTCAACGCAAAATCTAAGATACTCTCTCCAGCTTCATTTCTGTTACCAAAATCGTATCCACCATGCACCATTTCATAGCCTAGTTTATCAATGCCTACATGACCATTAAAATCTCCACTTTTAATCAGGTTCTCTTCTACGGGAATCTCCTGTAAGATCTCATCCATTTGCTCCAAAAAATCCCTCTTAGTTTGATAATCTAATTCTACTTGAGGGGCGTATGCACTAATAACGTTCACTATATTCCTTCCAACAACTAGTTTAACTAACATAATCATATCCCCTTTCCTAATGTCCGCCACTACATTCTCCACAAAACCCTTGGCAATTAAGATTCCTACCTCATTCCTACGTCTATCCTTACCATTGTAATACAGTTTAAAACCGGTATCTTCAATTTCCCTAACTTTCTCATCAGTCCACTTAGTTTCTTGTACGTAAGTTGCATTAACTCTCCTCCTAATCATAACATCTACCAACCCTATCGTCTTACCAGTTAAGGTTCCTATATTCCAAGTGGCTACCCTAAACTTATAGTATTTGATTAACTTTTTTTATCCGCGCTTGTCCAGAAAAACGTGGGAACCTTTGCCCATTTTTCACCTCACCCAGGCGTCGATGCGGCGCCCTTTGCTCATTTTTCGAAACACCCAGAGGCAGGTGCAACGCGTCACTTAAGGAGAACAACCTAGCATTTAAATGATTCAAAATAAGATTTATTGTCATAAGGGATCTGAGCGGCTTTTTTTTACGTGTTGACTGTCAGCTACCTAAGACATAACCCTTTTCCTTAACCTAAACTGGGGACCGGCAGAGTTGTTAACAACCCTGGCGGAGTTAGGGATACTTATTGATTACAACTTTATTTATTTATTTATTTTTCCATAACCAACAATAAGAAGATAATAATAATTTTTGAATTATTATTAAGTACAAAAACTTAAATAAATTATTAAAAAGTATTTCACATAAAATTTTACAATTAATTTCGAGTAAAATCGAAAAGAAAGTATTGCGTGTAACTAGTGTGTCATGAACAATATAAAAAATTCATATATTTAAGTCTTCAAATAAATTATATAATGATAAGATAAATCAAATTTTTACAAAGTTTGAGTATAAATTTCATGTAATAGTGATGTCATGTCATAATTAACATATGATATCACCAACCAATAGTAAATCAATATATGAAGGATGAACTCCACATGCAAATTTAACTAACACTCTAGTTATTTTTACATATATATAGTGAGATTAATTGTATTTACATATCAATAATGATGGATATTACTTTATATTGAGATTTTTTCACAAAATTTTCATACATAAAAATATAATTTGTTGTAGTCACTCCATTTCAATAAAACAATCACGATTGTTCTCATACATTTAAAAATACCCTTGATATTTTATTCTAAATATTATTTTTGTTTAAAATTTTATTTATATACATATGTAAAAATAAAAAATAAAAAATAAAAGAGTTAATTACTAAAAAGTCCTGTTTACATATTTGGTGGTAGCTTAGGTCCTATCAAAATTTTTTTGATCCAATAAGCCCCATTTATAGGTAAAAAGACGTTTTGTCCTTTAATCCCCAAACTGAGAATATTCTTAATTTTCAAACAGAGAATGATTTCAGTATATAATTATCAAAATTAAAAAATTTCTGTTTGGCTTCTGAGAAAAGTATGGGATTGAAAAGAAAGATAATTCTGCGAATATTCTAAGAAATTTATAATTATCAATTTTGAGAAATTTCTCAATTTTTTCATGATTAAAATTGTGAATATTATAAACTGAGAAGGTTCTCAATTTAAAAAAAAATCTCTCTCTCTCTCTCTCTCTCTCTCTCCCTCTCTGTGCAATCTTTACATGTAGGGCAGTTTCAAAAACAAAACATGCTTCATGTTTACCATTATCCCATGAAGTCTTGCCCAACACAGCTGCCTTCCTCATTTTTGCACCTTTTCTCCTAGCTGATATCAGTGGTTCCTCAATTTAAAATTCACTTAGAGAGCTGCAACATTTTTAGAACATTTTTGAGTCACATATCAATTCCTGTTGTCTTCCCTCCCCCTTTACAAGTAAAGACTTGAAACAGAGAATGAAATATCTTCACTTCCCCTCAGCAAAGTCTAACTTCCATACTAGTTTAAGTATATTCATTTGATAGTGCCAGGAAAGAGATAATTTACGCTTTGCTGATCAAAAACTAGATTTTCAAAACCCTAGCCTTATTGTTCCGTCGCCATCGTCCTCGAAAAGCTGACAATGATTTCTACTAGATCTGAATCATCCGGCGACCTGATCACGACGATTCGAGCGATGGCGTTTTTGAAGAAGACGACGTCATTGGGGACAGTGGCGAGGAACTCAGGAAGAGAGAGAGAGAGAGAGAGAGAGAAGATTGATTGAAGTGAGGTTTGGATGTGTTGCCTCTAAATTGAGCTTTCTTTGGAGAAATGGCCGATGGATTTGGTGGAGAGGGAGGGGGGTTTGGATGGGTAAATTAGTCTATTAAAAATTAATGGGACTTGAAAGAGTAAATAATTTTATCTAAGACCTAATGGAGTATAAGTTCATAAAATGAAACTTATATGTAAATGCCCCAAAATAAAATCCAGGGGGCACGTGCCCCCTAGTCACCACGTGGCTCCGCCATTACCTATAGTTGTTTTTAGTTGAGAGATTTGAAAAGAGATTTAGAAAGGAAAAAAGGAAAGGTATGTAAAATGTAAATAAAATATATCTACATTTTACATAATTTCACACATCTTTTCCCTTTCCAAATTCCTTCCATAATCTCCTAACTGAATACAACCAAATCCCCCCACCGTTGTACCCTGCTTTGCCTAAAACGGCACAATTTTTTTTTTTAAAATTCCGAAAAAACCATAATTCTAGAGAGACAAAGAGAAAAAGAAGAGAGATGAACAACGGAACATGAAACACAATTTTTTTTTTTTTTTTTTAATCAGGCATGAAACACAATTTCAACCTCTTGTTTTTTCCAGATCCTGTTATCAATGTATTGTTTTCATGTTACATAATCAAATCTAAATTCAAACCCACATGTTACATACTCAAATCAAAATTCAAATCCATAGTAAATGAAATTCTACAAACTCAAAACAATTCAAACCCTCTTGTCTTTTCCAGATCCTGTTATCAATGTATTGTTTTCATGTTACATCCTCAAATCAAAATTCAAACCCACATGTTACATACTCAAATCAAAATTCAAATCCATTGTAAATGAAATTCTACAAACTCAAAACAATTCACACAAACATGTTTTTGTATAGGTATGAGATCTTAAATTTGAGTAATCCAAACATAACCCTAAAAACACAATACATCAAAATTCAAAACCTCCTGCACTTATCTACCTGTGTGAAAGTGGCTTTGATTAGCTGCTTGGTGTCCATGACAAGTTCATCAATTAGGGCACCAATCTCATCCTGAGAAGGAAGATTTGAAGAAAGACTTGCTTTCCCTTTGAAAAACTTGCTGACATTAGAGTATCTTCGACTGTCATCGTAAGAGATCCTCTGCCCATTCCATAGCCAAACCCTAGGCCGACTCCACAGCCAACTCCAAGCTATAAGCCGCAGATTCCAGGACTGAATCCAGTGCCGCTGATGAGGCCAACGTCGAGGCCAACACCACAGCCAGTGCCGATTCCAAAGGTAGGTCCTAGCTTCCCTAATTGCTTCAATTTATCACTTGAATGCTTCATAGCAAACCCTTGTCTTTGTTTCCTGCTCCAATGTTTATCTCTCTTCCCTCTCGGAAAAAAAAGAAGTTGAAACTGTGCCGTTTTAGGCACAACAGAATCACAGTAGTGGGGGGTCACAGCAGTACCCTGGATCCTTCAGGGAGTTAGTCTTATTAGAATGGAAAAGATTATGATATACAACTTTATAACTAAAGAAAAAATTAACATAACTCCACACTTTCTGAGTCATAATAATAATAATTAAAAAAAAAAGATCACAACCAAACACTACATGAGACATGACCAAACTTAAAAAAAAAAGACATAATTAGGGATGGATATGGTACACCTCTTTCAAGGGGTGTATATAGTAAAATTCCCCTACTAGAACTCAGGTTGAATAATATGACAAGGATGTGCATCAAATGATGATGAAGTTGTATATGATGAGATTCATACCCAGGAAAACGTGAAAAATCGAGTGTGTAGTGTGGATTCTAAATTAGAGCAGTTGCAAGTATACCTAGAATGAATATGTTCTATACATTTTATTTTCTGTCATTTTTTCCAAGTGTGTAGCATTTTAAAACCTGCAAATCAAGTAATGCTCTACATTTTAAAACCAGCAATTCATCAGTCTCTTGATCTCTACGGGTTGTTCACCCCTTATTCCACATCAGTGATTATACCCGACAACAAAGTATATCTGGATCTCTGCAATTCAAGTCATGCCCCATAACAACACAGTATCACTGACTCTATTATTCAAAACATGTAGTTCATTTCTAGCTAATTACAAAGTAACTTGAAAAACCAAACAGTTGTGATTTACAAAAAAATGAAAAAAAGTATTGTCTGTGTTTTCCTAAATCTCTCCGGACTTAGGGAGCAAGCAAATCATATCTTTGGTAAGAGCAGCAATTTTCAGATTCTGCGTCTCCCAATTCTGTTGTGCACCCCGCGCACTATATTCGTCACTTGCTATTAAGCCGAAAGCAATGAGCAGCAAAAACATTTCTGCAAAATCTGATGTTTAGTAGCACAATGCTATTGTTTATCAACCTCTTGTAGTATGAAAACTCCAAGTTAATTGCATTTCTCACCAATTATATTGAAAATATCAGCGACAAAAGCACTCTCCACAAAGCATCTCTCACCATTCCGCCTAAGGGAAAGCAAATAAATGCAGCAAAATATCAGGTGAACACCTTCCCAATGCTGAATATTTTAATACAAATTGATGATGATCTAAATCCATATGCAATAGCCAAGTCAATGTAATGAAAAATGGCATATCGATTAGTTTCTTTCAGCCTCATTTTCATAGCAATTAAAATTTATCAAATGTGAAGAATGTTCTCATCTTTCATAATTGAGAAGGCAACAATACATCCTACAGATAGGTTAAATTTTCTGTTAGCATCATGAATATCAAACATGCAACGTAGATCATATGGCTCTCCACAATAGAAGGCATTCTTCGTTTTGGGTAATATTTGGTTGATCAGTGTACGTCCAATGTGAAGTTTACAAGTGTACTGAAAAGTTAAGCAAATCATGAACATTGGAGGAGGCAATTCTTTAATTTCTGGCGTTCACATGACATGAGTTTTCAATGCTGCAAAGATCTGTAAATGATGTGAAAACAGCTCAGCGAGAGCAAAAAGTCAACGCTAACTTCTTCAGTGTTGATGTGATTATGTGGGAAGTTGGATAATTAAAAAGCTGAATACAGTATAATCCAATGATACTACATGCAAAAGTTGATTTGGATGATTTCTAAAAAAAGATGAGAATTAAACAACCATATTATGAAGAGGGGGTTGGAGTTCTTGTTCTAACATTCCAGGCTCTCTCTCTCTCTCTCTCTCTCTCTCTCTCTCTCTCTCCATTTTTTCCCTCATAAAACAAGTATAGCATGAGAATGAAAACTTGTCATTACTCCATAGGAAGAGTTTATTCGGAGTAATGTAGCAGATTAGGAGTAAGTAAAAATGCAGTATTTCTAGAGATAAACTGTCGGTGATTTCTTAAAAAGAAGTGTCATTGTCTAGTGCAAGAAGATTAAAAGCAACAACCACATTTGTTGCGAAAGGTTTCCCTTATAAGTTGAATTTTTAATATTTATGTTATGGCTCTACTTTTTCTTAAATGAGATCAAGCTTAGTAGAGCATTGAATGGACCTCTAGTACTTATTAGATGGCTAGGCTTTCTTAGGTAAGACAAATAAACGTATACACGACAAACTAAAAGAATGAACAAACAAGGGACATATTGAGCTAGTCTACCAGGAATGGGGACTAGGCACTGTTTCTGAACATGCAAAACGTTCAGAAGGCGTTCGAAATCAAGACGGATGATTCCCACCCAGACCTATCTACCCTATGTATTCAAGGGGGAGCCTGCAACTGAAAAAGACCTGGTTCCACACATATAAGACAAGCAGAAGGTATGGGATGGCCAGTTCACCAACAAAAGTGAATTTGATCCTAACAAGGTGCGGTTGCAAGTTCATAGGGAACCAAGACTCTGATAGTTTAGACAATGGTATTACCTGAGGCCGATTGTCTTGATGTGCAATAGAGAGCTCCTCACAAAAAAAATAATTTTAGTACTTGTTATTCTTCACCCATGTGGAATTTCAGGAAGAATGGAAGAACATTCCTTGTGGTCACTCTGTCTAAATACTTTGTATTAGAAAAAGTACAAAAAACAAATCAATGCAGGGAAATTTAATCTACCATTGTTTTACAGGCAAGAACTTCATATTTAATCTAGAAAATAGTTCCAGGGGAGGGGGAAAGAAAAGGATAGAAAAGAAGACCTTTTCTGGCACTCTCTAATTGAAGAAAATTTAACTAAACTTTTTTTTTGAAAAGTAGAATATTCAACTAAACTTCACTAATGTCATGTTTGGATCTTGGATTTGTAGAGGAAAAAGACAAGGGAAGAGATAGGAAAAGAGAATCAAGTGAAAGAAGTTAAATCCATTTCCCTATTATTTTCCTTTTCTTTGATAAATTCAAGATCCAAATGAGTACGCTTCTTGCTAAAAGTATAAGGATATACCGCGAAAACTAGAGCATATAATTTAACTGAGCCAAGATACATTGATCAAATGGGAAGAAAAGTGCAACGCATAATACCAATTCATACTAGCACCTTCCTAGTTCATATTTTAACTGCAATTTTCAAAAGCGTCCATTATGAAATGAATTTACACAAGAAAAATTAATAACTATAAAGCTACATTGTAATGTTCAATCTCTAATAATCAATAACCTGTATTTTCAAATGCTTATGTCACTCTGCCCATTTACCCCATAAAAAGGAAGCAACATCAATACACACACCAAACAAGAAAGAACTTACTATGGTGACAAATCCATGTCAAGCGAGCTAATCAGTGCATCACCACCAGGACTATCCTCAATGTTTGAGTTGAAAAAGCTCAAAGACTCGTGAATTCCCTCGGATTGATCCCCTTCATAACCCTCCATGGAGGGCTTCAATTTCTGCCTAAAAAATCTCAACTGGTCTTCCAAAAGACCCCTCTCTGATTCGTGCTTCATTACAATCCATCTTAATGAATGGATCACTTCTTGATCATGGAGTTGCTTTTCCTCGGTCAATCTCCGGTACTGATTGGCCTCCATTTCAATCAAGCTCTTGTCATTTTGAAGTTTTAAAATCATTGCCATTGCCTCCTCAGCAGCAGTGGCAGCTGCTAACCTCTCCTTCTCGAGTTCCAAATAAGCAGCATTAGCTCTTCGCCTCTCAATCCTCACCAATTTTCTCAATGCCATGACATCAACTTCTTCATCTTCCTCATGACATTCTTGTTCATCACTGTCATCACCATATTCCTCATTTGAAGCTTTGAAATCACCATTTCCATTTGCAATTTCTTGAGTTTCCTCCAATTCACTTTCCAAACTTTCCAAAAGTGAAATCTCTGTGTTGCATATCCTATTAACACATTTTTTCGAACAAAACCCATTTCTCAAATCACCTGATTTCTCTCTAAAATAATCATTTAAAACAATATTTGCTTTGACATCACCATTTCCATTTGCAATATCTCGAGTTTCCCCCAATTGGCCCATCATGGTCTCCAACAGTGAAATCTTTGGGTTATTGCATTTCCCATCATCTATACAAATTTTTGAGCAAAACCCATTTCTCAAATCACTTGATTTCCCTCTAAAATTAAAATGGTACCCAAATTGCAGTACCTTAAATCCTAAACAGAATAGCAAAAAAATACCAAGCACATTGAACAACTGCCTAAAACACCCAAATACGAAAAACCCACCTCCAAAATCACCGTTCTGAGTAAAAAATGAAACACAATCCATAAAGAGAAACCCCAAAATATATTCCAAAAATCTCTTATAAAAATCAACAACAGAGCAAACAATCAGTAGCAAACAAAAGTGACCCAAAATCCGCATGAGTCTTCAGTCCAAGTTTGAATCACCAAACTCAGCATCACACACATGAACCTATTGAGCCAAATATATGTTTATGAATGTATCTCTGTTCTGTAACCCACTAGACAAAGGATGAGATAAAAAGAAGTATGGAAGGACTGACCTTGTTAGAGTGAAGAGAGAGAGAGAGAGAGAGAGAGTGCCGGACTGGGGAGCGAGAAGAGAGGCGTGAAGTTCGAGGCAAACGAGGCGTTATCAGAGTCAGAGCAATGGCGAGTGGGATGAGAGAGAGAGCAAGGATTCTCTGAAAATGCCGTTTGACAGGGAAGGGCAACGCTGGAAAGAATATGTGGGGGCAGTTTGGTAGTTTTGAAACTTGTAGAAGATTCTGTCCGATTGTGATTTTGATTGATGTTCCCTCGCTCCACGAGGACATGTGTCATTTTATGGCGGCGCGTGCTGATTCGCCTTTATTTTATTTTATTTATTTATAGATACATTAAAAATGAGATTTTTATTGATAAATTTCATTTAGAAGTGTTTTAACTCAATAAGTCTATGAAGGAATTTTTTAATCCATTTAGTTTCATGTATGTATAGTTTTATTCCATAAAGTTATTTTTCTTGATTTACACTATTTTCTTGGACACTTATACCTTTATATTTAATTTTGATACCTTTATGTTAACAATTTTATGATGTGAACATTCATATTTTAAAATTCACATTGGTAGGAATGAAAAATTGGTCCGTGGGCGGCCCAAAACCCGCCCGCGAGCCAGGGCGGGCCCGGCCCGTTGACAATGTGAATATTCACATTGACATATCAACATTCACATTAATAGGAGTGTAAAATTGGCCCGTGTCCGTGGCGGCGCGAAACCCCTCCGCGGCCTGGGGCGGGCCCGATCCGGCCCTTTGACAATGTGAATATTCACATTAATATGCTAATATTCATATTGATAAGAAGTATAAAATTGGCCCGCGGCTCGGGGTGGGTCCGACTCGTTGACAATGTGAATATTCACATTGATATATTAACATTCACATTGATAGGAGTGTAAAATTAGCTCGCGCCTCGTGGCTGCCCGAAACCCGCCCACGGCCCGTGGACAGCCCGGGGCGGGCCCGGTCTGACCCGTTGACAATATGAATATTCACACTGACATCTTAACATTCACATTGATAAGAATATAAAATTGACCCGCGACCCATAGGTGACCAAAAGCCCGCCCGCGAGTCGGGACGGGCCCGGCCCGTTGACAATGTGAATATTCACATTGACATGTTAACATTCACATTGATAAGAGTGTAAAATTGGCTCGCAGCCCGTGGCGGCCCGAAGCCCGACCGCAGCCCGAGACGGGCTTCGTCCGACCCGTGACAATGTGAATATTCACATTGACATGTTAACATTAACATTGATAGGAGTGTAAAATTTGCCCGCTGCCTGAAGCTAGCCCGCGGCCTGGGGTAGGCCCGGCCCGTTGACAATGTGAATATTCACATTAACATATTAACATGCACATTGATAGGAATGTAGAATTGGTTCGTGGCCCGTGGGCTGCCTGAAGCCCACCCACGGCCTGGGACAGGCTCGTTTGGGTCCGGGCCTGAGCATGTCTGAGACCCTAGGTTAGGGCCTAGGCCATCACTTTGAAGCCCGGCCCTGCCCATCGGCCCGCTTAAGGCCCATTCAAGGCTAGGTCCGAGGCCCAGCCCGCGCCGAGGCGCAATGTATTTTTTTGTGAAAAATAATCAGTTTGTTTAGTTTCAGTTTTCTGAATTCAGTTTTTTGAAAATTGATTTTTTGGTTTTCGTGTTTTATTGTTTTTAGTGAACTTTTTAAAATTTTAAATATTTTTTTTTTACTTTTTTAGATGTACCTTACTTAAATGTATCTAAAAAGTACAAAAATTGTGAAAAAATATTTTAAAAAATTAATAAATACATAAAAATACAAAAAATATACTGAATTCTCATATTTTTTTTCTCGTATTTTTGGTATTTAGTGAATTTTTAAAAGATTTTTTTCACAATTTTTTTACTTTTTAGGTATATTTATGTTAGGTATGTCTAAAAATTAAAAAGAAATTGTTTAAAATATTAAAAAATTCATTGAAAACATTAAAATACGAAAAATGAAAAAGTAAATTTTTTTGAAAATTGGAACCAAACAAGCTGAATAAAATTTTGGTAGAAAAAATTAAAAAGAATTAAAAAAAATGGCCAAGCCCGGCCGTGGGTGGGTTTCGGGCAGCCACGAGGCGCGGGCTAATTTTACACTCCTATCAATGTGAATGTTAACATGTCAATGTGAATATTCACATTGTCAACGGGCCGGGCCGGGCCCGTCTTGGGCCGCTGGCGGGCTTTTGGTCGCCCATAGACCGCGGACCAATTTTATACTCTTATCAATGTGAATGTTAACATGTCAATGTGAATATTTACATTGTCAACGGGCCTTACCGGGCCCGCCCTGGCCCGGCCCACTCATGGGCCGTGGGCGGGTTTCGCGCCGCCACGGGACGCGGGTCAATTTTACACTCTTATTAATGTGAATGTCAACAAGTCGGACCTGCCCCGGCCCGACTCGAATTTTTTCGGGCACCCACGACGACCGACATGGGCCGAGCCTCTACACATTGACGATATGAACATTCACATTGACGGTGTGAACATTCACATTAGAGGTATTTTGGTAATTATGTCACCCATAGGACTTATTGAAACATAAAAAAATAATGTCAACAAAATGGAACATGAGTAGATGAAAATAGTATTTTGGTCTTCTTATCTCAAATAGGACCTAATGGAATAGTCAAAAAGAATATGGGTTGAATGGAATAAAACTTTTAGAAAGTGAATTTATCAAAAAAGCTCTCATTAAAAATAAATAAATTACAAATATACTTTTGAGATTGATTTAAAATACGAATTATTACTTGTGATTTCGAAAATTACAAATATTTTTCTGTTAAATTTTTTTATTTAATAGAATTAACTGAAAAAATAAAATTCGTCACTATTCTCCTATATAATAATAAAATTATCTGAATTATTAATTAAAATAAAATTTTAACATCATTAAAAATTATTAATTAATTTGATGATTTATTAATAAAATGACTTATTTATTATGAAATTAAAAACTTTAAGAGGCATATTGTAATTTTCAAAACTACAAAGGTAATTCGTAATTTAAATAAATCTTAAGGGTATGTTTGTAATTTACCCTTAAAAAAAGTGTTAACATTGGCCTTAATTAAAAATTTTATAATTATAATTTGAAAAAAACCATTCAATATAGTTATTGGCATTTGATTATTATTATTTTTTTTTTTGTACAAATCCAAATTTCTACTTAAGGAATTTTAAAAGGGATTTTTATTGATAAGTCCAATTTAGAAGTGTTTTAATCCAAGAAGTCTATGAAGGAATTTTTTAATCCATTTAGTCCCATGTATGTATAGTTTTATTCCATAAAGTCCATTTTCTTGATTTACACTATTTTCTTAGACACTTATGCCCTTATATTTAATTTTGATACCCTTATAAATATTTTTTCAACGATTAGCAATTTAATGATGTGAATATTCATATTTTAAAATTCACATTTATAGGAATGTAAATTGGCGCGTGGGCGGCACGGAACCCGCCCGCGAGCCAGGGCGGGCCCAGCCCGTTGACAATGTGAATATTCACATTGACATGTTAACATTCACATTGATAAGAGTATAAAATTGGCCCCCGTCCCGTGGCGGCGCGAAACCCGCCCGCGGCCCATGGGCGGCCCGGGGCGGGCCTGGTCTTGCCGGGTCCCACTGCTTTGGCAAAGCTGAAGAATGAAGTTGAAAGTGTTAGGTTGCTTGTTACTGTACATTCATTAACTTCTTTACTTTTCTTGATTGATAAATTCTCCATCTTAAAGTTCAATTTACAGTTATTTTTGTTAAGAACAAGGCATGTTTTTGTTATGTGGTATGTAAGCAATCCAAACTTACTGATCTTGCACCTTTAGGGGTGTATTTCTTCCGACTTCTCTCTGCATGGACTTTCAATTTTATTTTATTTTATTTATTTTTCTTGTCTTGCTTATAACACCGACCAACCAATTGGAGATTAAAATCCTTCTCAGATTTGATTGTATAAGTCTACAATCTTTCATTGTACTTTCATTTGTTTTTCTAATATTAGCTGCTAAATCTGACTGAGTCTGTTTGTGTGGTTGCCTACCTCCCCTACCCCAGTTGCCACAACCTCCCCTCACCTGCCAGAACACACGCATGCCCTTAAACCTCCCACACAGGGGCAAGGTTAAAGGCATGGCTGTAATTTAAAAATATTAACAATTCAATTTTAATTTTCTTTTAAAAATCAAATTTTGCACATGACATGTTAATTTACGTGGAAAACGCCATTTTCTCACTTTGTTATCCACCACAATGGGATTTAGTGTTAGAAAGCAAGCTTGACAGGGCACTGTGTTTTTTGACCTAGCTTCGTGGGATAAAACTGTAATTTACGCAGTATTTATCTGTATCACAAATTCCAGTGATATGGACGAAATCCTTAATGAAGCACCTAAACAAATCATCAAACAGTAACTTAGAAATTGTCTCAGTTAAAGCACACAATTCATATTTTGTTCAAAAACAAGATGCAGCTCATGTAGTTGGATTATCTGTCCTACAAAAAATGACTTCAGCGATGAGGATGTTGTCATATGGTGTTGCAGCAGATGCAGTTGATGATTACATACGTATCGGAGAAAGCACTGCAATTCAAAGTTTGCAACAATTTTGTAATTCAGTGATTGAAATCTTTGGAGTAGAATATCTGAGATCTCCGACACCAACTGACATTGCTAGATTACTTGCTATTGGGGAGGTTCGGGGGTTTCCAGGTATGTTGGGAAGTTTAGATTGCATGCATTGGGAGTAGAAAAATTGCCCAAAAGCATGGCAAGGTCAATACGTAGCCATCAAAAAAAGCTAACCATTATTCTTGAAGTAGTAGCTTCTTATGACTTATGGATTTGGCATGCATTTTTTGGAATGCCTGACTCACACAATAACTTGAATGTATTGGACCGGTCGCCTTTGTTTTCTGATCTTGCGTAAGGTAAAGCTCCCCCTGTCCATTACACTATTAATGGACATAGTTACGATATGGGTTATTACCTTGCTAATGGTATATACCTACAATGGGCAACATTGGTTCAAACAATTTCTTCTCCCCAAGGAGCAAAGAGACAACATTTTGCAATGACGCAAGAGTCTGCCAGGAAAGATGTAGAGCGGGCATTCGGAGTCCTTCAATCTCGATT